ATTTAAGGCTACATGAGGTCTGTCTGAAAAGTAACAGGACTGATATCATAAACAATTTATTTCAATTCCAAACAGCAAACTACATAGTTTCCCCTTCAAAGTAACCACCCTCGAATCCAATACACTTCTCCATCCTTCTCTGCCATGCTTCTATGCACTGCTGGAAGGATTCTTCTTGGATGCTCCTCAACACTCTCATTATGGCCCTCTTGATGGCATCCATACCTTCATTCCTGTATGGCAATGTTCTTCTTAGCCAGAAACTGCCAGTTGCTCAGGGTGTTGTGAGCAGGTGCATTGTTGTGGTGAAGCAGCCACAATTTGTCCTGCCACAACTTTTGCATGTGAAAAAAGATGCAATTATTGTAGAAAGCTAAGATTACAATTATATACTCCCAAGATATCATGTTAGATGATAAACACAATCACCTATAACTCACAGAGCACACCCAATCTCTTTTCAGAAAAACTTTTTGTGTGCATGTAAATAATAAGTCAGGACTATACGTAATGTACTTATAAAGGTGAAATTATATATATATATATATATATATATATATATATATTTTCATTTCAACCTTTGGAAGTAAAGTCTGATGATCCGCAGTCCTTTAAAAGGGCTGTGGTGAAATAATTTATTACATGGAAGCTTAAAATGGTCTGTTTTTACTTAAATTATTTGCTCTGGATTTACATTGAGCTCTCTGGATTTTATCCTCCTTGGGTCTACCCATACAGATTACCTAGTTTTCCATAAACTAAATTTATATATATATATATATATATATATATATATATATATACATACACACGTTATAAATTAATCGAATACAGTAATATTGGATTGTATGTGTGTATAGGTATAAAAGAAAAGTTATTAATGATGGGTTCTGAAAATATTAAAAAGTTGTTGCAGGGTCAATATGTTTGAGCAGACGCTTAGATTTATGGATACATGTAGACATTAACTTGGACATTGTGTTCAGCAAGTTAGGGTTATTTAAGTGTTTTAATATAATAAGCTTCTCCAACAAACACAAGTTACATCTGTCTCCCTTCTATTGTATGGTTTAACTTTCACGATTATCTCCCAACTAATAGTTGGGTTCTTATGGCTGTTTAAAAAAACAGCCATAAGAACCCAACTATTATTATTATTGTCAAACATACTTTGTTTTTGTATTTGATATTGCTCAGTGTCATTTTGTGGTGGAAAAAAATGCAATTTCCAACTACTCTCAGTTGCTCCAAAGTAATATTTAACATTATCATCCGAGTTGATGCTAGCTCTGTATATAATGCCTTCAGTCATGCACTGGCTGTTTAATGAGCAGTTTACATCTTTGTGGCAGTTACACTGACTTTTAGCAGGATTATCTTTTAGTGTTTTGTTTGGGAGCTTGCTTAATACATTGTTATATTGAGTTATGTAATTATATATATTTTTTGTACAACTATAAACTTATCTTAATGTTATTTTTGTTGAAATTTTTTTTTTTTTTTTATTGGTGGAGAATGACCAAAGTGTTTGTGAATTAAATTCAGGAAAATTCTACCTACATTGGTTTTGACTTACACTTAAAATTAAAAATTAGAAGTTCTACTTTCAATTTAAAATATGATCATCGTAGAATGCTGGTAGTTAAGAATATGATAAGTGTCAAGGGGGATAACACTTTTTTCTTTTTTTACATCAGGCATGTGTGCATGTGAAGTTGCATCAATGTAAACATCACTTTAGACCAACAAAATCCTAAAGAACAAAATGCATCACATAAAAATTTTTTTCCTCTTTGTCAGTTTTCTCTCTAAAATATACAAATAAAGACAAGGGAAAACTTATCTTAGCCAACATGTTTCATAATCTGAAGGACTTTATCAAGCAAATGCAAGGATTTTATTTTGTAACAAGTATTTATATCCACAAGCAAAAATGTTGTTGCTTTTTCAAAATTTTTAAATTTAAGAACACTCATAAATCAGGTTAGCCAAAAAGTCAGACAAGCCATGGGGATATGTAGTGACACAATTCAGTGTCTAATGAACAAAAGTAAGTGCGCAAGTTTTACTTTTGTCTTTATTCCTATTTTCCTTTTACAGATATACTCTATCTGAAAGTTACATATATTTTCTGTTTATACATTTTTATAGATACAATTATTTAAGTAAATGCTCTGTTTATAATAAACAGTATTAATTACATTTACCGGCCTGAACATCCAAGAAATTTTGTAGAAAATGTGTCTTCCAACAAAAATTGGATTGTATCCTACACAGAACCGTCATTTTGACTGGACGTGCTGTAACATTTAGCTAGAAAGGAAGCATCTGGTTAGCAAAGTCCAAATTACTGCTTTTAAACAACAAATTTCAATCTAGTTAAATGGTATAGCACGTCAGGTCAAATGACAGTCCCATGTAGGAAACAGTTTTGATTCCTGTTGTAGGACACATATTTTCTACGAAATTTCTCAGGTATTCAGGCTGGTAAATGTAATTAATACTGTTTATTATAAACAGAGCATTTACTTAAATAATTATATCTATAAAAATAACGTACAAACAAAAAATATATTAAATAATTGTCGGACTTAGAACATATATATATATATATATATATATATATATATATATATATATAGAGAGAGAGAGAGAGAGAGAGGGGGGTTCAAAAGTCTTGTCACCCCCTACCAAAAAAGTAAATAGAACAACTAATACAAAGTACATGTACTGGATTCAGTTTATTCAATTTCATTGACACTGTCACATACCGAGAAGGACTGTATGAACACCATCATTTTCATGGCACAAAATGATGTGGAAACATGTCATGTGTGATATTTTACAAAGCTGTGCTTTGTTGATTGTTGCAAAGGTTCTCCGAACAGCATCCTTCAACTGATGGGTATTCTGGCATCATTTATGTGTGGAAGTGTGTGGATATAGAAAAATTATATTATGTAGCAGTGGCAAAACTTTCAGACCACCATATATATATATATATATATATATATATATATATATATATATAAAGGAGAGAGAATTCCTAGGACATTCATCTGATTTTCACATAGTCAATCACTAATTTGCTTCTGATTATAGGTCTGACACATGGAATATTAGGGTTTTTTTCTCTTTATTGAAGTCTTTGCAGAATGCATCTCAAGGCATCAAAGTACAAAAAAGATAAGTGAAAGATAAACAGTGATTGTTTAGAAAGAGACATTCACACAAGAGTAATGTAATCACATACCTTGCTGTTATATTACTGTTACTGGCACATTTCTCATCAAAACCAACTCCTGAATTCTTCTCACGTCGATTAACATCCAGAGGAATTAGCATGTACACCATTCGATTTGCATAGTGGATTGCTTGACTGTAAACAGTTGACTCTTCATTGTTGATCATTTCTTCTTGCTGTTCTTTGCTCAATGTTGGCCAAACCCTCAACTAATAAAAACAAGGATTTAATTATAAATTGTGTGGCTAACAGACACCTCATCCATTTACATACCCATCTAAATTGATGGCTTGATACAACCAATTGGCAATATTCTAAAATCTAAAATAATTAAAAGACTTTGTATACAAATTTATCAATAGCAAAAGCATTTACTCTTTATTCATTGTGTGTATAAAACAAATTTGTTTAATTTTTCTCTAGTTTCTCAGTTGTTTAATATACTTAGGGACTTGAAATTAACTTTATCAAATTCTAAATTTTATTTCTACACTATACTTATTGTTTTTATTTATATTTCTATAATGTTTTGACAAACTGATTCATTAATTATGTTGTAGCCTGACGAAGATGATTTATAAGTTTTGTCCTGTTAAGATATTCAAGCAAAAATTTACAAGTTGAGGTTAATTAAACAATATGTTGAAAGACTTGGAAGAGTCTTACATTAGTGGACATACACACAAGAAAGAGAGATAATTGAAGAGTTGAAGGCAGATTTGAAAGCAATGCTTTCTGCCATTTTCATCTTAAAATAAAAAATATATATAAAAAAAAAATGTTCAAATTTTAGATACCTGCTCAGCAGCTATGTCAAGAGCTCCTATCTCTTTTGGTCGGTAAATACAAGGAGCAGATCTCCGGTGGATGTCTGGGGTGCAAGATTTGCTACGCGAGGCATCCAAACTCTAAAATAAAAAAAATGATTAACAAAAACAATGAAAAAGACTTGCTGAGTAAGCAATTTTGTATTACAGAGTAAATAATGCTAATTAATAACTTGAAACAGCCTCTATTGATGAATCTGTGTTTAACCATTATTCAAATACAAAATGTTACAATTGCCTAATCAGTGAATAAAACACCTTGATAATTCACTGACAAATTTAACTGAAATTTACTGGTTTGAGGACATTGCATAACAGATTAATAGTAGTAAGTATATTGCTGTGCTAGAGCACAGTTAGAAAAGATGAAGGGACAGAAAAACATTTACATTCAAATTTTACTAATCTTAAAACAAATATATATCACATAAATTTATTTTCAATCTAAAAATGAAGATATAAAAAAAACATCATTTGATATCATTGTATTCGAAAATTCAAATTTTTCTGAGAGAGAGAGACTATTTTCCAATTTCCAGGTTGGCTGTGAATCTTGAAATGTCATAACTGAAGCATACACACATTTTGGATTTAGTATAATAGAAAAATGCAAGCATGTGATAAAAAAATGAAACCAAAACACAAAGTTTGAGTTTTGCAAACATCTTTTGGGTTAATAGGCTATATATAAAAATTAGAGAAGAAAGCATATTGAAATAAATGTACAATGAAATCTGAATTAAATTCTCATATTAGTTTTATTGATTGACTAATTGGTTATTTTACCGGCATATCAACAATCATGGGTCATTAATGTCGAAATGGTTGATTTTGCTTAGTGGCATGACAACCTACATGGGCCATTCAATGCTGAAATCCAAATATTTTGTACATAACTTTATGGCTTCAACTACAGATGTGTTTTGTAAATAATTTCATACTTTCAGGACAAATGAACAGTTTTAGAAATATAATTTATACATAATAAAATGCATTGTGCTTTTTTCTATGTGCTGGAAGCAGCCTACTTCTTTGAGAAACAGATACAATTTTTTAAAAGCATAGTAAGGGTTTGTACATCACGGTATTTGTTGCATGTTTTTCATATCTTTTGCAGTCTATTAGGATGTGCTTATCAGTGAGCAATTGATCACAAGAGATGTACTGAAGTGCAGTTTCTGCTTTAAGTAAATATTTGTGTGCAAGATATGTATGTACTATTTGAACTCTGCTTAGCACTACGTCCTGTCTTCGATCAGGTAATCATTCTCTATTTTCCAGTCGGTCGACTAACATTCATAGTTTGTTGATCGGAAATATATCCCAAATTGTTTGCCATTTTCCTTTAACATATTGCATGATCTTATTTTTGTAGTCTGTATATGGGAGTCTAATGTTGGTTATTGCCATTTTGGTTGTCTCCTTTGCCAGTGCATCAGCTTTTCAATTTTCCTTAATGTCTCATATTAGTTTTATGGTGAAAAATATAAAATTAAGTCAATAAAAATAGATCATGATTGTTGTCCTTCAGCTAAAACTTTAGATTAATATCTTTGAACTGTTTTAAAAAAAAAACAAACTGCTTTAGTCTTAAGATTTGATTATTTAAAATTATCAATTGTTCAAAGTCAAATTACTATAAAACAAAAGCTTTTCTTTATAAAAAAAAAAAAATAAAATAAAATTCAAAGATAATCAACTATTGGAACACATTAAGACAGACATATCACAGCATTAGTTGCATCACTAATCATCAGGCAGATTAGGTTTAAGGATTCAAGTTCACTACAGCGTTGCTTTGTGAATTTAATAGACTTTTTGAATTTAATAAGGTTTGTGAATTTGGTGACAGTGATTCCGAGTTCAATCCCTGGGTTGGGCAATGAAAACAGTTAAGCAACTAAAAATAAGAACTAGATAATATCCCTAGTCATGGGCAGTGAAATGAAAACAGTCTACTACTATAATTAAGATCTTATAAATAACATTCTACACCCATAATTAAGTTCGGAATTCTCTGTAGATTACCCAGAAGAATATCTACCTAAGGAAGGCCAAAGGGCACAACAACCGAAATGTTGTGAAAGCAACAAGGGTCTAAATATAAATAATGTAAATAATCACATATCACAGAAAAACAAAAAGTAAAATGAAATAAAAGACACTTTACTGCCACAAAGTCATACATTAGGTGAAAGAAAAACCAAGGGGAAAGGACGAAATTGAAAGAAATGTTTTAATGATATGAATAATGAGGCAGAATAAGTATATCTACTTACTCTGTCGCGACTCACCTCCCGCATGAGATTAGCACTCTTTGCCTCTTCTCTAGTGTGTTCAGAGACAAAATGCTCTTCGTAATGCGGCAGGTAAAGTTGTCTGATCTGCTTCTGAACATCCAAGTAGAACGCAGCTTCCCAGAATTGCTGATTCCTCCAAACAGCATGTTCTTGCACACAAGTGTAAGCAAATTGGATTACGCCTGTGCACAATTTCTGGAAACAAAAGGAAAAACATCACAAGCATTATATACAAGATTCATGGACCCTGCAGATAAACAAAAAGACATTTTATTTTCTTTCATGTAGACATTATATACTCCTGTAAGATATTGGCCTAATCATTTTTAAACTACAAATTTAAAAAATTTCATCAAAAGGTTTCTTGTTTTTTTTTTTAATCATTTCATCTCAAGTAAGGCAATAAAGACACTAAAATGCAACAGGTAACTGAGTGTGAAAATATATGAGAAAACGAAAAACACTATTAAGGAAAGTGAACTACAGCAGAACAGAAATTAAAAGTGAAAATAACTGATATTACATTTAAATTTTTTAAGATCAAAGTTGACTGGAAAACAAGCTGAAAGAGTTCTATGCTAACAGTTTCTTCTCTCTTATGAAGTGTGAAAGAAAAAACTGTTCGTATAGAATTTATGGTTACATCTAGCAATTTCAACTGTAAAATAATGAGACCTATCCAACAATTTAGTACTGCACTTAAATTTATAAAAAAGTACAAATGAGGGAATCTCCTCAGAACAATTACGATGAAAATATTTATAGAAAAGGCAGAGGAAAACTACATTATGGGGGTGGGAAAGTGACTGATGCTTATTATGACCTAATTTCAAGCTGAGTTAAAATTGAGTGTGATTTATTTTAGCTTTCACTATTTTTAGTTATTTTTACATTTCTAAAAGAGTTATATCAGTAAAATTGGTATAAGTTGAATAAAGCCAAGAATCTGGATTATAACATCTTAATGAATTCATTATTCCAGTACATACCTAAATATGAACTAATACACAGTGTCATTTCATAAGATTGTGGGCAGAAAGTTTTTATTTTGCAACATAGTTAGCTTCTTGCAATTTGCAAATGTTAGCCTTTAAGCGACACAAAAATTAATAACATAGAATATGCAAAAAAAAGGGAAAAATTAATCAAATTGCAAGGAATAAATTTTTTAATGATCCAATCTAGTAATTAAAAGCAAAGATTGGTCAGCTGCTAAGCTGCTTCGTCATTGCTTAAAATATTGCTGCCATGTGGTCCAGTGCTCCTAATATTTATCTAGAGCTCCTTGATAAAAAAGAAGAAGAATCAGCAATATTATTGGTTCTGTTCTGGTTTCTCAGCATCATTCACTTTCTCACTGCCATAAGGTTGCTTTCCTGTGCCTTTTTTATAAATACTTTTATGGTAATTGTTCAGATGAGCCCTTTCAGATGGTAACTGGACCTTTTGAATTTCAGTGCACATACTAGAATGGCGTTGAGATCTCATCAATTCACAGTTGAGTTGGCTAGAGGAAACTGTAAATTCTAAGCTTTCTTTTCTCATACTTTGTGTTTCTGCAATTCCCTACCAGCTCCAAGCTTACCAGCCGACATTAATTTTCAGATATTTAAATGCAATATCAATTGCTTTCTACTGCCCCCCTGATTACTCTTCTTTTGTTCTCACTCCTGAACAATGTTTCTGTTTTCTAACTCTTTCACACCTAGTAACCCCTTGTGTGTTAGTGGATTTACAGCTTTGCTTGGGGGCAAACTCTATTAAAAAAAAAAAAAAATAAATAAAATAAAATAAAATAATAATTTTTGTAAAGTAATGAAAAATAATGCCCAAATTGAATATTTCATTGTAAATAGTATAGACTGAACAAAACAAAAAAGACTTAACCTTTTCTCTAAATATAGTTTTACTATTCAACAGTTACGGTGTAAAATATTTTGTACCTACTCCAAAATAAACAAAAATTAATATTTAATTCTAAACCCCCCAAAATTAAGAAATATAATTTAAAATAAAAAAATAAAAAAATTGTGTTAGATCCTTACCTCACTTTGCAGGAAAATAAGACAAGTCATTTAAATTCTAATTATAAGAATTGCAACTCTCAGAAAAAATACAGAATAAAAACATTCAGAGAATGAATAAAAAAAACAAAAAACCAGCAATTAATTAAAACATATTATAAAATCCCTCAAGGTAATTATTGGTAAAGGTCATAAAAATGATAAAGACGGTAACAGCAAGTCAAAGTAACTTAATAGTAAGTTCTACTTACTCTGCAAAAAGAGGTAGCCAGAGGTAGAATAGCATATGCAACTCCATTTTCATCCATGCTAGAATCATCCTGAAGGACAAAACAAAAAGAATATTCAATGTCAAAATTGATTTAGCAAGAAGTTTACATTAAAGAAATACACAAAGACAACTATTTCTTTTATTACTAAGTTTGCCATATTCAAAAAGTATTTTATACATTCTTATACACTTCTAAAGGAACCAAACAGTTTATCTGATATTTTAAATGGCAACTCTTTAAAGAGCAGCATAAAATTGATTGATGAATTTTGAATATTTTATTTTTTTTTTTTTTTGCAAGTGAATATTGTATTAACAAATTTTGAGAATAACCAAAATATTTACAATTGACCAGGGAATATAATCTTCAGCAGATCAATTAGTTGTTATTGCATTTGTCAATTTCTATTTGATTTTGAAAGGAATGCATTATCAAAATATTTAACTCCCAAATCTGAAAATTTACATTACAAAATTCCTGAAAACCAACTATGAGACCAAGGTATTGTAACTATTTACATTGTTCGGACTGTTGTGCTCATCTTTATTGTCATACTCACAATGCTTCAGCTATTGTACATTCCAGTTCAGGATACTGGTTGAAGTAATTCAGTGACTTGAACCAAAAAGTTGCGAGTTCAATACCTGGCCACATCAGAGGTGAACAAAAACTTAGAGAGTTGAGTTACTAAAGAGAAATATTCAGAATAGACATGGCATGCAGAACTAGAACAATCTACCCCAGTGGACAAAATAAAGGGTTTGGTTCATAATTCCAACATATATCACCTCAAGAAGGCTGGAGTATAAAACGGCCAAAATGTTGTGAATATGACAATAAAGACAACAGTTCGAACAATGTAAACAGTGACTAACCAGTATCATCATAAAAACAAAACAAAAAAGAAAATTAAACTACATAAAATGTTTCATTTAGTACAGACAACAAAACAACCAGTGTTAGATACGATCTGCACTTTGAAGGAAGAAAAGTTTAAGTAACTAAGTGACTAACCTGTAAAGCACAGTTGAGTAGGCGTACAACCAAGTCAAATTGTTGGTGCTCAAGCATAGCCCTGTTGCTTTGGATATGGTAGCTGAGTTCTTGGGTAAGGGCTAATCGAGCAACTTTGTTATTCAAAGCTCGTAGAACAGCAGGGAAGATCTGAAAAAACAAAATATCAAGAAATTCAGCATTTTCATCTTTACAAAGCTTAATGAATAATCAATAATACTTAAATATTTCAAGTACAATTATAAAAATGGGTCACAATGGAGAAATCCAGTGCAAAAAGTAAAAAAAACATAGTGAAGAAATATGATCATCCATACAAGATTTTTATGTAATGGAGAGCAGTTCAGAGTGAGAAATCAGTTAAATATTAGGGCAGACTTAACTCTTTAGCCTTGGTTGTCAACCAGTCCAGAAGAAGAAAAATTTAATTCAAAATCAGAGGATGCTCATTTGGAAACCTTGTGGCACATTATGTGCACCTGTTCTCTGTATACAGTTCTTCTGAAAAGTGTGGTTGATTCTGCACAAGCTTTCATCATTATAATCAAAATCATATGTGGATAGTCTGGCTGTTTGGTTCTAAAAACTGAACTGATGAACCCTCATACTTCAAAAACAATGGGAGAGTTTATATATATATATATATATATATATATATATAGCCATGGCCAAAATTATGGAGCACCTATAAAAATTTGAGATAATAGTTTAGACCTACATATTTCAAGGTTAAGAATCGTACAGTGAACAATTGAGAGCAAATGTAAAATATTTAACAGTAGATTGTAGTATTTTTTTTTTTTTTAAAGCCTCTCTCAAGAGCTTTAGCTGAGTTTTCGTACTAAATTCATTCCAATATTCAAAATGATTTATTGTCATACTAAAAGGTTGTTTCGTAATTTTTGGGTAATATTTGATTCCTACCAGTGTATATTTAATTGAAAATGCCTCCAAAAAGCAGCTTTCAGAGATTAAAAGGGCACAAATTGTTGCTTTATCTGGTAAAGGATATTCTCAGGTAGAAATTGCCAGGAAGATGGAATGTTCAAGGAAGGGGGTTCAAACAACTATTAAAAGGTACAAGGAAACAAAGTCTTTCAAAAACAGAAAAGGACAAGGCCGTAAAAAGTCTACAACCGCCAGGGAAGACAGATCTTTGAAAAGAGCATCCCTTGCAGATAAGAGGAAAAGTTCTTCAGAGCTTGCTGTTGAACTTAGGGAGGATGCAAACAAAAACATATCAGCTTGAACAGTGAGAAGAAGGTTATTAGAAGTGGGATTAAAAGGATGCAAAGCCAGGAAGAAGCCATACTTGTCTCAGGCCAACAAGAAAAAAATGACTGGAATTTGCAAAAAACCATGAAAATTGGACACCTGATGATTGGGGCAAAATTGTTTGGTCTGACGAAAGTAACTTTGAGGTAAGTTAACAGCTTCTATTTCCTAAACTTTGGATGTAATAATTGAAATTTTTATGTGAATACACATCCATAACATTTATTCAAAAATTGTAACAAATTCTTTTTTGTCATCAGATTTTTGGCACCCCCTGAGCAGTTTATGTTCGCCGTAGGGAAGAAGAGGCATTTCATCCTGATTGTGTGGTTCCAACTGTAAAATTTGGAGGAGGAAGCGTAATGGTTTGGGGCTGCATGGCTTCTTCAGGCACTGGAATATTGTACACATGTGAGGGCAGAATGAACTCCACAATTTATACTAACATGCTGGACCAGGTTTACCGAACCTCTTTGACTAAAATATTTAATAATAACATTCCAAGTGATGTAATCTTCCAACAAGACAATGCTCCATGCCATACGTCAAAAATTTCAATCGGTTGGTTTGAGAAAAAAGGGATTACAGTGATGAAGTGGCCCCACTCAATCCCCAGACCTAAATCCCATTGAAACTTTGTGGTCCTATTTAGGGAAAAGTGTGAGAATGCACAAATGTTCATTAAAAAAAGAATTAGAGGCCAAACTTCATGAAGATTGACAGAAAATAGATCCTACCACCTGCAACAACTTAGTCAATAATATGCAAAAACGAATAAAAGCTGTTATAAAGGCAAAAGGAGGACATACCAAATATTGATTGTTGTTATTAATGTTTACTCCACTATTCTTAACCTTTAAATATATAAGTTTGAATCATAATTTCGATTTTTCATTGGTGCTCCATAATTTTGGCCAAGGCTATATATATATATATATATATATATATATATATATATATGTGTGTGTGTGTGTGTGTGTGTATACAAATGAGAGAGTACTGAAAAGTACTTGACCCAAGAAAAAACCTGAAGGAATTAAAAACATAAAATAAAATAAAAGCCAATATTTGGTCAGATTTGGATAGTGGGTTGGGCAAATAATTTTTCAGCACCTCCTGTGCATATTTACAAATAAACAAGTTTTATTAAATTCAACCAAGTCAGTTTAATGATTTTATTCTATTTCTCCCCAAAATGTACATTGAAATCAAACTTTAACTGCCCAAAGTAAATGTTTTGTTTTTGTTCAAGTACTTTTGACTATCTCAATCATTATCATGAATGACAGGTTGTTAGCATAATAGAGACATTTTTTGGCTACATTCAGGCATTTTTATACCGGAATTCAAATATATGTATATCATATACAGGGTGAAATGGGTAAATTGTTGTCATTTCATATTTTTAATTTTGCACATGCCATTGTTTGTTTTTGATTTTGTCAACTGCACAGTATAGTAGGGTCAGTTGGGCACCATCTGTAAAAAAAAAAGCACCATGACACAAATCACTGCCAGAAATTTGGAAACAGCATGCTGTACTGCTTGGCATTCATGTCAGAAGCTCTAATACAAACATTTGGATATCAATCTGAAGACAATGCAGAGGATTTGGAAAGAGTGGGATGAGTCTAATGGTGATTACAAAGGTGTTTGGAGTGATCACTAGTGATGGTGACGTTATACTTCTGTTCATCTTCCTACAGGACCTCAACTCAACACAGAGGCCTACATCAAGTGCCTTGAGGAGGTAGTGCTGCCCTGGGTCAAGAGGGTAGCTGCTGGAAGACCCCATGTCTGGCAACAGGACTCTGCACCATTCCACATAAGCAGGAGAACCCAGTCATGGCTATCAGACAATTTTTGTAACTACATCACTCCTTACATCTGGCCACCTAACTATCCAGACTGCAACTCCCTTGATTATGTATGGAGTGCAGTTGAGTGAGAAACCAACAAAGCTCCTTGTAACACCAAAGATGAACTGATTATGGCAGCATTCACCAACTTAAAAAAGGAGATTGTCCAGATGAGTTGGAGGAGATTCCAAAGTCATTCTGGAAGCCATGGTTGAAGCCAATGGTGATTTTATTGAACAAATTTACTCTTTAGTATTGAAAGATATTTTTGTGCAATTTTGGTAAATATATCTACTAAAATGTGATGCGAGTGTTATTTTCATTTTTGCATAATTTGGGTGACAATTTATCCATCGCACTCTGTCAAAGTCATATGTAAGAAATTTTGATAATGACTGAGGTAGTCAAAAATACTTGGCGGAGGGGAACCACCACTTTAGACAGTTCCTCCACAATTTTGATCTTCAAATATCTTATTTATGTTTGTATTGATGTTATTGAGGGTTGGCTTTTTCTTTAATACAAATATAATACCCTCATCTACATGTAAAAAAAAAAAAAAAGACTAAAAATAATGGAAACAATATTAATAAAAAAGAAAAAGCCAACACTCAATAATATTAACATTAATATTAACATAACCACAATGTGCAGGTCGTGCTTGGAAAATAAAACATTCCTATAACTCTAGATGCATACATAAAACAATCCATACATTCAGTTAATCACAAAAAATATAATTATCCTTGATAATGGCTAAAAGTATAGCTGAAAGCACCCAGACATACAGGAGATTCAGACAATTTCTACATTTCCAGAAAAGAAGAAAATTAATAAATATACATTTTGTTCCAAACCGGTAGCAAAACCGAGTTGCACACTGCAATCATCAGGTGCATGAAAATCAGAGTTGTGCTACTGGCAATGAACAAAATGTATATTTATTATTAGTATAAATTTTAGCTTTTTTTATTATTGCACCGAGTACAGTTTTATTACCACCGGCACTCAATGTCCGATACTAATACATATATGCATCTCTTTACTGAGTGCTGATAGCTCAGGGGTAGAATCTCCAACTGATGCCAAATCAGTCAGGTTTCGATCCCAGCTTGAGGCAATCAGATGTCTAGCCACACTGATGATCTGTGATACAACAAAACAGTCTGTCTGTGGATAACAATATATATATATATATATATATATATATATGCCTTTGGAAAATTTAATTCTGATTGAGCACTCCTGAAAGAAAGTGCAAATTTGTAAACAATGACTGCTACTCCTAATGCTGCAAAGCTCTTCTATGAATTGAGCCCTCTCAGACATTGGTGTGTTTATTTGAAGAATAAGTATGTAAAAATCCACCTTCCTCTTTACCGGGTGCTGATAGCTCAGTGGTAAAATCTCCGACTGATACCAAATCAGTTGGGTTTTGATCCTGGCTTGAGGCAATCAGATGTCTAGCCACACTGATGAGCTGTGATACAGCAAAACAGTCTGTCTGTGAATGACTATATATATATAGATAAAATGAAATGGCTTAAGTCTGACAATTATTTAATATATTTTTTGTTTAAGATTAATAGATACAATTTATTTAAGTAAATGTTTTTTTTTTTAAATAAACAGTATTAATTACATTTACTTAAATTGCGCCTATTAAAAATAACGAATAAACAAAAAATAACTGAAGTCATTACCCAGCACCGACAATCTGTTTCATGCTTAAATATAATAGTCTTGATGATTGCGTTTAAGCATGAAACAGACTGCCGCCACTGAATGTTGACTTTAATAAGCACATTTGTATTTACATACGCTCTGTCCCTGATATTGAGCACTTTAACCCATAAATTAGCATACCTTAAAATTATATATATATATAGAAAAAGTTTCAAATTAAAAATTATAATGTTTTATTTTATGAAATTATTTATTTATTTATATATATATTTATATTATATATATATATATATATATTTGATATTTCAAATTGTCCTCAATTTTTCATCAGGAATAACTGTTTGTTACAAATAAATTAAAATTACTGTTTGTTAGCAAGTAGCGTCCTTTTGCGAGGCGCGGACGTCACGTGATATGGAACGTCACTGTTCGGATATTCTAACTTAAATCTAACTGTCATAAATATTTAAAAAAAAAAAAAAAAATTGCTTAACTATTGAAATATTTATAAAGATTTAAAACACCTAAGTCCCTATTCAACCCTAGTTTATGTGTATTTAATTTTAAAATCCAATGTGTTTCTTTTTTTCTGCATGTGAATATATATATATATATATATATATATATATATATATATATAAATAAAGAAATATAGTCTTAAGGTGTGCTATATTTATGGGATAAAGTGCTCAATATCAGAGATAGAGCGTGTGTAAATGTAAAAGTGAACATAGAAGTCAACACTTAGAGGCGACAGTCTGTTTCATGCTATATGTAATCGTCAGGCCACGTGTGCTGTTATTTTTCTTGGCGATATATATATATATATATATATATATATATATATATACACACACACGGGTCAGTGGTGCATTGTGGGTAGTCTATTATGGCGGTTATTTTACCGGAAGTCGTTTATTTATTTATTTGGGTTAAATTATTTTGCTTGTTTTTATTTTTTGTTTCTTATCTCATTTATTTTAAATTGGTGTATTTTTATTAACGTAGTAAAAATTTGTTTATATCACTTATTTAAAAAAATATTTTAACCAGCAGACTTTGAGAAAAAAAAAAGCTGAAGAAAAACTCACTTTTCGTGCATCTGAGATCTTATTTTCAAATATAAAATTGATGCAATTGCGCAACACTTCCAATCGGCGAGCATTGTTATCTACAATTTTTTGTTTGTCTACAACTGATGAAATTGGTGGACCCATTGGCACAATTCTGGGCTGTTGTGGACGAACACTTAATCTGTAATGCATATAAAAAATGGAAACATTATTGATACAAATTCTATATAAATATTTTAAAGTGAATATCAGATTTAATACTAAAGTTTTCAATAAAAGCAGGTTTTGAAAGAAGTAGGAGGGTTGGAAAATTCTGAAGAATAGGTAGAAATAGTCTAAAATTTTCTCTATTCGAATGAATGAATGAATGATATGTAACCATACAGCCAATTATTTAAAGAGAGTTAAAACAACTTTTTCTATATCAATTTTTACTGTAAATATAAAATTTATAAAAAAATGGTTTCTAATGTCCTTCTTTTGTTATTCTTTTCTTCACATATCATTGCACATTATTGTATATAGCTACTGTCAAAGTCTCATTTATCAAGCCTTCTAAATAAATCTTTTCTAGGCTATATCTATATATTACACAACTAAAATATTTTGATTTGTTACAATTCCAATGAAGTTTGAGAAATGACTGAATCATAATTTAAATAAAGTTTTAGAATCTGTATCAAATCAGTTTTGGAATTTTAAATGCTTATTTTCTTAGGGTTAAAAATAAATAGTGGGATGCAATTATCTTTAGTTATTTTTTTTCAAAAGTTAAAGCACTGTCAAGGGAGGTAAGAAAAAATTGTCTGGCACAACAATGAACCCACATTCCTAGCAGTAGACCTAGCAATTCACTTCATGTCATTGGAAAACATGAAACCAAGAAAATGCAAGGAGTTGCTCTCCTGGAGTTTAGCATCAGCCATGCTGGTGGGAGGCAAAAAAAGGTTCTCCATAGTGATTAAAAGATAGCAGTTTTGTTTTGGAGACACCAAAACTTACAAGCCATACTCTGCCCCAGTTAACAACTGATTGGAGGCCATTTTTGAGAGCAGCTACTAGTTTTACTTTGTTGGACCTATCAGACTTACTATTATTAAGGAGTAAATATTTGTGTCGTCAGCATAAATACCTTGTTGGAAAATGATGACATCATGAATGCCATTGAAGATAAGCAACAATGTTGGTTTGAGGAGAGAACCCTGGGTGGGGGAGAAATATCAAAGCAGACAAATTATAATTATAGACTTAATTCTTGTGTGAATGATATAAGCAAGAATTGACCTATAAACTGCCAATGACAAAAACTTCTATCATAGCAGTTCTAGATGTTTACTGCTAGTGATGGAAATTTTTATCATTGTAAGTGGATCATGCCAGGTAGATAATAATCAAACTGCTTGCACAAAAATGTAGACTGACATTTTCTTATAAGAGACCAAAAATATTATACTCACTTGTTTTTTAAATTGAGCTTAGCAGTTCCTTCGTCAATGATTTCCAAAATGAGATTACGATCTAAATGGGGGAAGGGCAGTTGGTGTATCCGTGCATAGGCACCTTCTGTGGGTTTGGGTAATTTAGGCACGTATGGCTGTGAATTAGGGTTTTCCTGTTAAGAAAAAGAAAAAAAAAAGATTTTAAGCTGATTTTTGCTTTTCTAATTTTTAATTTTATTTAACTATTATATTGGGTCAGAAGTAATTTCCATTTTCAGGAAACAATTGGAATGACAACTGTATCATCCTAATTCCTAACTGTACATGGCAGTTAAGAATAAATTTAGAGTACACTAACATACCTTATCATAACACAGGAATGGCAGTGTCAACAGCAGATTATAGGAAAAGGTTACATACAACAAAAATAAAGAAATTTTGAAACTGATGATTTATCTTATCCTACTTGCTATATTCACCCAGTCAGTCCTATCCCACCTGCTATATTCACCTGGTCTTGCACCAACCAATTATTACCTTTTTTTCGATAACTCAAAATGCTTTCATAGGAAAATTTTCTCTAATGAAAAGCCAGATTAAAGAATTTGTAGAAAACATTTTCACATCAAAACCTGCAAAATTTTACTCAAAAGGTATTGAAGCTGATAAGCAGGGTCAAGTCATTGCAAATAGTGGTGAATTGAATAAAATCTAATTGTATTTTATCTTTGGAAAAATGAAGTTGATAAAGAAAAATGGAAATTATTTATGACTTAACTGAAAACATTCTATTCAAACTATTTTTTTTTTTTTTTATAAAATTTTCAGTATTAAAATGGATTAATATTTACCTGAAACCATACATTTATTATTGTCTTGACACTTTCAAATATGGGCACAGGACAGAATTATTATATGATTGATGCACTTGGAAAATATTTTAAATGTTTTCAGGTAGAATGCTTATAAGTTAGTTTGCTAAAAGATAAATTTAAGCTGAATGAAGATTAAATTTAAAGCAGAATATTAAGATTATTTTATTCTGCAATTTTTATCTTTTTTTTTTTTCTTTTTTTTTATAAAATAATCATTATCCTTCATAAATTTGCTTTTTTTTTTATTGAAATCTTGCATAGGCCCCAGACTAAGTTTCTAATTTCAGAAGTTTGGTAAGTAAAATTTTACCCACTAGGTGAACAGTTTTGAAATGTCCAATTCTAATCTAAAACAATAAATAAAAAACAACAAATAAACATTTTTTGAAAACACAGCACTCCTGAAAAATTCTTATGATTAAAAAATTAATTATTCATTAAAATTTTTAAGATTAATTCAAGTAAATCAGGGGGTCAATTTTCCCATCTGGTAGCGAATTCTGACCCCAAACTGGCAGGCTGAAGCTGTTGGAACATTGATCATTTTCCAAACAAAAATTCTTCAATCTCCAGTAGATAAAATTGCTGGTTGGATCCACTGACTTGACCCAAAGAGCTGAGAGTTCAATACTGAGCTACTGCAGTGGTGAACAAAAACTTAGAGAATGGAGTTAAGGGAGATAACTGAGACATCCAGAAGAGGCATGACACGTGGAACTAGAACAATCCACCCTGGTGGATGAAATAAAGGGTTCAGCTCGAAATTCCAATCACCTGGAGAAGGTTGGGCCATACAACGTCGTGAATATGGCAAGAAAATGAGGACAACAGTCTGAACAATGTAAATAATTACAATACCTGATCTCAGAAATGTAGACAAACAAAAATGGAATCAACTGAAAATACTGGCACTTGCATTCCTCAAATGAACTTCACTACTTGCCTTTTCCTTCACTCATACAACACCACACTGTAGGCCTCTATCTTGAGTGACTCTTGGGACTTTTATTGGGTGAATAAAAAATTAAAAAATAAAAAATTGAGCACCAAAATAAAAACTTAAATTAAAAAAAAAAAAAAAAAAAATTGAATAAAAAAGAAAAAATGATTTAACCTTAAAACATCTCTCTATCAAGGTTAATATGAATATTGAGTAGATACAAAAGATGAAATCCTGACATGAGATATTTCTTCAATAAATTTGCTGACCCAATTTCACTTTGTATTTAAGTTAAAAGCAGTAATATTTATAAAATCCTATCATCTACAAAGCCGAAAAAATTACAAGCAATCTTAAACCGTTGGGCACACACACAAAAAAAAAAGTTTCAAAAAGAGGTTTTTTCCCTTGACATCACTATTAATTTAACCCCCTTCACTCCCTAGGAAATGTTTGTTTTAAAAAGCATTGATTAAAATTTTAATATACCGAAACATATGATGAAAGTGAATTTATATATGATGTAATGGAATAACCAGTCACCCCCATGAATGATTACACTATAGGTAGCAAGTACCTATAAAGTCAACTGTCTATGAGAGACTCAAGGAAGAAGAGTGTGAGAGTTAAGACGCAAGCACATCTGACCTTCCAATTAGTGGAACTCACTACTAGATTGACTTGTGTGTATAACCGTACCGTATTTCATATTGTACTGGTTGTGTACAATAAACTTTTCTTCTGTTATCCACCTGGTGTTAAGTATTTATTCCCTTAGTGCGGAATATAACAATATATTTTCTTTGTTCTTGAGAATTGACAACAAAAATAATAAACACTATATTATTTATTATATTATTTATTGGAATTGTTGACAAAACATTGGCAAATTACCAATCAATTCAAACTTTATAAAATGGTAAATAATAAGGATTTCCTTAGAGCTGATTCACATATTTTAACAATTTAGTAAATGTTTATGAATCTATGAATAAAAAATTGTTTTAATATTTATTTCTTTATAAATTAGCAAATGACAAACGTTGCATTGCATTAATTTTAATTATATTAGTTTCTAGAATGTTGTAAATATAAAATTATTATTTAAATAAACAATCTAATAAATAGGGTTTAATATTTTTGTTGTCAATTTTCAAGAACAAAAAGAAATGTATATATTCAATTTCATTATGTTTAAGTTTTATTAAAATTCTAACCAACACTTTAAAACAATAAAAATTGCCAAGGAATGAAAGTTGACACTATTTTTTTGCAGGCACAAATGTCCAAGATTGCTAAATTATAATTATGTCAGACCAACTATATGCAAGTGAATGTGTGTGCATATATATATATATATATATATATATATATATATATATATATATATATAAAATTTACATTGAGGAACAACTGCTGGGCAATTTCTTTAATATGAGCCATCATCTTTTCTCCGTTCACTGTGGCACGTTCCTCCTTCAATTGGTCCTGCATAGTTGCATAAACCTGAAGAAAAACAACAAAAAAGGAAACAAATTTAATGAAGTTTTTTTTTTTTTTAACATTTTCTCCAAGTTTATTTATAATAAAGCAAAAATATAAATAAATTCAAGAAAACCATTTTTTTTTAATATTAATTTTATGAAGCATATCAATACCTTTATGACTTGGGAAGCATATTTTGAAACTGACAAAATGTTTTAATGTTGGAACAGAAATGGATAATCCCACCCCCTCCCTAAATTCCTTTTTGAAATGTGCAAACACATTTATTTCATGTTTTATAATCAATGAATCCCTCTACTGACACCATTTGTTATGAATGCATGAACACATGAAATGACAAATTGCCAGTAAGGTGGAAAGAAAAGACAAGAATTGGTAAATTCTTTGTATTGCTGATTTAGAGGATCAAGGTGGAATGACTCTTTGTTGGTGAGGGAAGTGACCTGAAGGATGGAGTGTACTAGAATACACCAGCCCACTGGTAAGCTGCAGTTGTATTTTGGTAGACTTTCATGTCTTTTAGTCTACCAATCAGTGTGTGTACTTCTATTTATATCTTGGTCAGATATAACATAATGGGGAATGTGTCAAGCCCCACTACATTCATACCAAACCCCCACCAAACATGCATGCGCATGTCAAGCCTTCAAAACACACATATGTACATGTTCTCATGTACACACGTCAAGCCCCGAGCACACCCACACATGCATATGTGCCTGCCAAGCTACCCAACACACCCACACATGCCTGTCAAGCCACACACACAGACATATGTGTATGTCAAGCACCCTCTACACGTTGTGTGTGTGTGTGTGTGTGTGTGTGTGTGTGTGTGTGTGTGTGTGTGTGTGTGTGTGTGTGAATATAAATTTTGACTTTTCTTTTCTCAAAAAAGCTGCTAAATTTGATTGGAATCAGATTATATAGGTTTGTATAAATTAATATAAACTCTTCAACAATGCAATATCTTCTAGGCAAAGATCATGCAGTGAGGATGGATGAAAATACTTCAGGAATATTTCATTTATATAGGTAAAACTCGCAATTATACTAATACACTCTGTACAAGCATTCATTTTACTAATAATAAAACCTATCAATTTCAATTTTTTTTTTTTTTCACATTACATAAGGAAGGTTTCAACTATGTCAACACGGATAATCCATTTTTGTTAGATGTCAAATAAAACTAAAAGCCAAAAAGCCAATGAGACTGATGAAGAAAAATAAAAGACAAGAGTAAAAATGCAAAACTTACCTCATCAAATATATCACAGACTCTGTATGGAGGGCCGCGCTCAGCCACAAAAGAGCTGAAACTCATGCAGTCCAGCACTTTGCATGTAAAGTCATCATCTACCATACCCCGCTGACCAAGAAAATAAGCCTAAGAAAAATTAAATCAAATAAGAATTGTTCAACAACAGACCAGAGGTTGTAATGCATGTATTTAACACAAGTAAACAATGACACAAGACAAAAAGAAACACATTGGGAATAGATTTGGAGCTTCTACAAAAAAAAAAAAAAATCAAGTGATGTATCCCTTCTACAATATCCTTTTTTTCTGTTTTATTTTTAAATGCCAATGTCTCTTTAAGATGTAGGAAATCATGGCTCTTCACAGATTCCTTTTCTTTATTATTGATGAATTGCCATGATTTTGGGGGAAAGATAGTGGAGTGGTTTCTCCATTACCTTCTCAATGGCTTGGAATTCACAGTAGTAGTCCTCTTCAAATGGATACTAAACAAGGCTAGAAGCCCTGTTATTTAACCCACAGCTAGAGAGAGAAAAGATGGCTTCATATCTTTTGCAAGAGCATAAGTGAACACAACAAAATAAGCTGAGATTTGAACTCTGCTTCCATTGTTTATAGCAGTGCCTGGAAGGAAAGTATGTCAAATGTGATCATTTCACCACACTACAGAGGTTCCATCAGTGTGCATTGGTTGTGCAGCAGTTTTGGGCCAAGCACAACATTTACAAAGTCCAACAATCACCATCCATATTCCCCAGATCTCACCCTTGCAACTTTTTCTTCTTCAAAAATCAAATCCCACTTGAAAGGAACATGATTTCAAGGCAACCCAAGAGAATGACATCTGGTCAATATCCCAAAAATGTAGTTCCAGGAATGCTTACATCAATGGAAACAACACTGGATAAAGTGTGTGGGTTCAAAAGGGAGTAATTCAAAGGAGATTAAATGTTGAATAGATGAATATAGCACCAGCTCTGATACTTTTTGATCACCCCTTTTTATATTATAATAATGAAAAAGTTAATGGTCAGAGTTGAATTAGACCAGGAAACAGTAGTATTAAAAAGTGCTAAATGCACATATAAAAAGATAAAAATGTAACATGTACAGCTTTTAGGTATAAAAATTAGATCAGCTGATTCTGCTACCTTGGTTTCAACCTGTTGGTATCTTCAGACAGTTCTGGTCAGTTGATTTCCTAACGCTTTATTTTTTTAAAAATCAATGAACGCTTATTATTTAAAATGGAGAGTGTGATAGAAGGGGAGGAAGAGGAGAAAAACAAGCATATTAGAAATGTATAGGTGCAGTTGTAAAAATGAAATGTACATACTTTCTTTCCGTCCTAGTTTATATGAACTCAAAAGGAACATTTTAGTGTGTATGCAAGGGTGATAATTTCCAATCTCTTATTCAAAAGGTTTTCATATATATATATATATATATATATATATATATATATAATAAAAACACCAAATGGATAAATATAGGTAAATGTTTGTGTGTGTGTGTGTAAGAAAAAAAACACAGCTCAATGTTAAATAAAAGAGCTATTTAACCTAAGAAATATACATACTACCTTATATTAATTGCATAAACAGATATATTATAAAAGTGCAAAAAAAATTGCACTTGAAGAATGCAGACTACATGAAACTCCAAGTTGTGCAATCAATGTATTTTTATATATATATATATATATATATATATATCTCTTACTTATTATAAAACGCAGATTGTGTGTGTGTCTGTAACGTTTATATATTGGATCGAATTTCCTACATTTTTTAGCCGATTTCAACAAAATTTCACAGGACTACATAAAATTACCTTGTGGTGGTTCTAACGGCACCGAAAATGGGGAAAACACAATTGTTTTTTTTAACAAAATCAATTTTAAAACACGATTAAGACACATCGGGAGAATGAAAGGGGACAACTCACCCACAAAAAATGTAAACAAAAAGAGCATAGCATGATGAAAAAGAAGCGAACTTGACTTAAAAACAAAATTTTATTGTCTAATGTTCATATTATTATTAAAGAGGAAAGATTAAAAGTATTTTTTTACATTTTTTAATCGTTCCTAGCACGTCTGAAATTTTCGTTAAAAATATTTTTTTTTTTTTTTGATCAAAAAAAAGGACAGATAATCAATCATTTTTTTCGATTTGATAAAAAAGATTAAAATCTGACTTTGATATTCTTTTAAAAATCAATTATCATTTTTTCAAAACTGATTTTAATAAAAACAGAAATTATACTGTTTATTTAAAATATTTTGAACCAAGCTTAACTTTTTCTGCGCCAAAAAAATGTAATATGAAAATAAAACAAAGCCGGTCATAACCTTTCGCGTCGCTTGACGATTGACGAAAGGCACATTCATGACGTTTAGATAACTTACGGGAGGAGAATTCTTTCTACGGATGGAAGGAAGTGAAATTATTTAAGTGAACAAATTATTTACCTCGTTACTTTTAAGGAAAACTTTCAACGCTCTAATTTTTTATTTTTTATTTTTTTTGTACTCTTTCATTTTTACGTTTACGATGCTTTATGGAAAATATAAAGAAATTAAAAAATAAGACTGTTAATAGTGAGATTAAATTTAATAAGAAAAAGGTATCTAATTAATTTAGGTACCTTTTTTATGAAATTTTAATTTTATGTACATTTATTACATTTTACTGTGTTATTTGTATTTCCATTCATTTTATTATTAATTTTGATATTTCATTTATAAAATACTATAATTTTATGTACATTTATTACATTTTACTGTGTTATTTGTATTTCCATTCATTTTATTATTAATTTTGATATTTCATTTATGGAAAAATGTCATAACTGAGATTAATATAAAAATAAGATCATATAAATTAAAGTTTAGCAGTAGTTAAATTTCATAAGATGATACTGTTACTTGTAGGTACCCTTCTCAGTTGAAATTGAAAACTCAAATTAATTTCTCCATACGTGTTTTAAAAAGTAAAGGGCTTAACAGCGGAGAACAATGCTGAACTCAAATAATGCAACTAAATTGTATTCTGGTTGGTCTTCCGTACTTGATAATTACTGTCCGACTATAAACACAAAAATTACATTTCTTAATTACCATGGCTAATCTGATTGGTCCAAATTATACAATTTTCAAAGCGCTAGACAATGACAATCTTACACGGACATTTTTAACTAATGTTAAAATATTTTTAAAAATTCAATTTAAAAATTTTTTAAAAATCTTTTTAAAATTAAAGTAATAAGAAATAATTGTATTAAAAATTCAATTTTCATTGAAAAAATTTTTTGCTTTCAGAAAATATTGTCCATATTCATAAAAACAAATTAAAACAAATAAAAGCATTTGAAACTAAATAATATATTTGTTTTATTGAGTTTTGTATGTTACAATTCACAGCTGATTTTCAGGTACATTGGCAAAAAAAAAAAAAAAAAAAAAAAAACATGATTTGCATTCTTCAAAGCCTTGTGCTTTTTTGTAATCACTAAAACCAATGGTCTCGAATTTCTAAGAGTTTTTCATAAAATTAGTTATGGGGGTGTTAATAAATATAAAAAAAAAATATTTCTGCCATGACTTTAATAAAAAAAAAAAAAAACATATTTATAATAATTTCGATCATCTGTGAATAGTTTCTGAAAGTTTCATTAACATCTGACAATTATTTTTATTTTTGCAAGATTTTCCAAATGAATGTGTGTAAATACAAAAAAACGCACTAAAAATTATCTATGTTATTTACTACCCCTTGTTGCGACAAAGAGAAACAAGGTTTTTTAAATCAAAATTTAGAATATTCTAAAAAGATGGAAAAATTTTTAAAAATAATAAAAAAAAAAAATTTAGTCTATCCTCTTCATAAAAACATAAGCATTTTGACGATAAAATTTTGTTTTTATAAACTTTGGCGTCTTTTTGATCAGACTATGCTTTATGTTTTAGCGATTCCGTGGAGTGACTTAGGTTAAAAAACCCAGGTTGTATGTGTGTGTGTGTGTGTGTGTGTGTGTGTTCCTTTATATATGGGATCGGATTTTCTTACATTTTTCAGCCGATAAAACAAACATCCACTTTTTTTTTGGCAGGTAGTATTTCTTATTGTCTTGCACACTTTTTTCTTTATTTATACATTCAGACTGCTTTAAAAATTCCATTTACAAGACAATTGTTTATAATAAAATTCTAATTCTATTCAATCAGGGGACTCATCATAACGATTGTAAACAATGTTTTTGTTTGAGTTTGACCAATTGTAAAAAAAAAAAAAAAAAAAACTAATTAAGACATGCGTGTCCGTCAACCTTAAACAATAATCTTTGTCAATTTTATTTTTCAGTCTTTATGATGGTCGATACTTGATCTATCTCTTACTGTTACATCCCCGGGCAACGCCAGGTTCTACTGCTAGTATATATATAAAAACAAGACAAACTATATAAAAAAGAAAAAAATATAAAAAGATAGTCAAAATGACTTACTTTATGAAAGGTTATAAATGGTTCTGGATGGATACGGATCAAGGTGAGACAGGAGCGGTATCCTGTGAACAACTCAGCAAACAGACGGATGAACACAGCACGCAGTTCTTTGTCCTAAAAGGCAACAAATTGGATCAAATTTAGTCAAATTGATAAACAACTTCATCAAAGATTACAGTAACAGCATTTTTAAATTTTAAAAGGATATGTATAGTTGTGATCTCCCTTTGGTTAAGACGAAATTACCAGGGTCATGTCACAACTGGTAAGTGACATGAGTTTATGGGGGCAACAAAAGGAGAGTTGCTGTTTAGCACATGTAAAGGCATGACAGGTCTACGCATGCCAGTTGTTGATGATAGACTGCTATAGCGTTAGACATCATCTCAACCCCACAGCAATAAGGGAAACAGAAGAGCCCACATGGTATCATGAAGTTCGTAGAACATACCACCAAAATGGCAGTTTTCTCTTCAGGAAATATCACAAAGAAAACCTCACACTTCTTGCCTTTTCACTTTTATTCATAAATTACAATTTCTCTGTGTGGGACAAATTAGTGAAAATAATTTATATATTTGTATATTATTTCTTGTATGAAATAGCAATATATAAAACTCTGAAAACAATGCATGTTTGTCATTCCTTTCTTTCAGCTATTCTGGTCTGTCAGTGTATTAAAAGTGTTACTATATCACAGATATAATAATGCCTAGAATACGGAAATGTAAACTGGAAATATACTTTCTTGCCTAGCAATCCTATTAGATATATAAAATAAAAAATAGCATGTAATATATATAAGAAAAATGCAAAATTTCATGAAAGTGCACTTTTAAAAGAACGTTAAATTCGTAAATACGCATGTGTACAAAACGGAGTAAAAAGCAGATTGAAAAAGATGCAGAAAAAATTGAAAATATCATTTAAAACCAAAACCCCCTGAAGTCTGGAAATTTTACGAAGAAACTTTGAAGTCAGGATAAAGTTGATATCTAAAAGTTAAGTAATCTTTTCATATAATATATATATATATATATATATATATATATATATATATATATATATAACATTGTAAAAATACCTTTTATTGATTTGGTTTTATTGGTTAGTTTGTTTTAACAATATATCAACCCTCATAGGTCATTTAATGCTTAAAATCAGATTTTTATTTGATAATATTTAGGAAGTTATAAGTTTTATAATTCATGAAATATAGTTGAAAACTGGTTGTATAGTTCGTCTATAGGTGAAGTTGTCTGGGTTAATGTTTGGTGAATAATTTAGTTTTCCTCAAGATGATCAAAATGGTTTTCACATTTACACTTTTGAAAAGTTCCTTATAAAGGCATTTTCAAATTGAGGCAAATTTGGCACAATCCATCATCACCTTTTTTTGTAAAAATGTAAAAGTGAAAGAATTCAGTCCCATTAACCCATGTTGCAAGCCTTAAAATAATTAAATCTCTTAAAATAATTTGGCATTTTAATTTTACTAAATGCTCTTATTATAAATTAAGAATGTTTTTTTAATACCTAATAAAAATATTTATCACAAAAATTTAATTCTAATGAATAGACAAAATACATTATATATATTTAAATGGATAAAAAACATTATAATGTAAATGCTGATTTCACTGTAACAAAGTAAGTAAACTCACATTTAAAAAACACTAGTCTATGTTCACATAAAAAATAAAAGATTACCTCCCTTGCTATCATAAAATTTACTAAGAAACTAAAACACAAGCCTTTTTTACCTTTTTTTTTTTAATCATTTCACCACAAGTAAGGCAATAATGCCCCTAGAATGCAAGGGGTTACTAGGAGTGAAAGAAAATGAGGAGAACAGACAATCAAAGAACAGGTTTCAGGAAGACAGAAGATGGCAGTTGATGTAGCATTTAAATTTTTCAAGGCCACAGTTGATAGGAAAGCAAGAAACCGGAAAAGATTTCCACAGGCAAGAAAAGAAACTATTAGAATAGAATAGATTACATCTAGGTAGTTCAACAGTAAAATGGTGAGACCTAGTTGCCAATCTAGTAACCTGCTTAAATTCATGAAATCGAAGCACCAAGGAGGAAAGCTCATCAGAACAATTTCCATCAAAATATTTGTAGAAAAGACAGAGGGAAGCCACATCATTGCAGTGAGAATGTGAAATCAAGATGCCAGGTCAGGATCGATTATATTACAGATTAATTATCACTGAAAGTATTTTATCTTCTATATAAACATTTTCATAGAATGAAAACTATCAGAAAAGTAATCTTTATTTCTTTAAATAGGAGCTATAAAATAATAACTAAGATCAAAAAAAAATTCAAGGATTTTATTCTCATTCATTCAGATTCAAACTGAGCCTAGGAATCAATATTGTTTTATAATCATGACGTATGTATCTTTATAATAATTTACAATAAAGAAGAAAACAGTCTTAGTCATTTTGTTAGCTAAGTCAAATAAAAAATACTAACAAAATGGAAAAAATCCTCATTGATTTCTTAAAAAATTTTTAAATGAAAATAATAAATTAAACAAAATATATATGAAAAGCACAAACAAGCAAACAGGTAATTTTTCATTCTAAAAATAAAGGTTTTCAATCCAGAGTTAATTTGTAATTCTAACCTTGCGATCAGGAGGTTTGGATTTCTTTGGAAGTGCTGGGAAGGCATCATCTGCAGTCAGCAGTTCTGGCTTCAAAATCTATAAACAGAAAAAAAAAATGAAATTAATTATTCAGGCTTATTTGTTTTATTTTTTTTTTTAAATCTGCATCATTAAATATCTCAAAATAATTCAATTTATTAAAATCCACTTTATCAATATTAAGCTATAATAGACGACAAAATACACCCCAAATAATCTCAGCCAGCTGAGTAAATATAAAATTCGAATGCCTGCTGATTAAAACTTAAACTGAAATCTTAGATGGATATAAATGGTAATATTAGCCATTTCCATCTAAAGAAATATTCACCATTCATTGACCAAGAAGACAGTGCTACTAGAGTGATGCTTTTCTTCACTCCATGGCCATCAGACTGGGATCAAAGTGTAGCATCTGTTCTCCTCATCGCTAATGGTAAGAGGAGAGCCATTTCCTTATAAGGATACATTCACCATTCACTGACCGAACAGCCAGTGCCACTGTCAGTTGAAATTTATAGAATCTTTTTATTAAAACAGTTTTTCAGGAAAATAGATTTCTCAAGTCCAGTAGTTGTTATTGCTCTTTCCAGTATTGATGGGGGATTTCTGTCCTAACCTTTTATTTGTAGTAGTGTGGATTGCCAGCATTTTGATTATGTCATTATTTTCTCTTAGAAGTTACATTTGATATGTATTTTAGTTGTTTCTACTCTTGTTGAAAGTTCTCAAGTGATGTGGTTTCTGTTATTTTGTATAGTATTTTGTTTGTGATTCTGTAGCACCAGGCAACAAGTTTCTAAGAATGATGGTCCTTGCTGAGGCCCATAGATTTCATTTTTTCAAAGCCATTTAAACCATTGATCTGAGAAAGCGGTTGTATACAGCTGACAGTTTAGATATTTGGCACCATGCATGACATCCTCATAAAAGCCTCGATCTGACTAGGTTATTTAAGAACATGACTGAATTTTGTAGCAATTTAGTGCTGATGCAAACATTATGAAATAACTGTATCAAAGGATTTTAAGAAAATTCTTACAACAATTTACAGTACTTGAATCGTATGAAGAAATATGATACAATCATGAATATGTATTAGACAAGATTAAAAAAATCAAGAATGAACAGCTATAAAATAGAAAAGTTTCCTTTCTGTTAAATCATTATTCCTGTAATGTATTTTTCATAAAAATGTACACAATGCTAGCTTACAAGCTAAATATAAAGGTTTTAACTGGTAACAGACATTCATTCCAGCAGCATTGCAGACTACAAATGGCTAGGCTTCATTGCACATGCACCCTTACCCTATACCAACATGGTGTAGTATAGTGTAATTGTGTGCATGTTCACATATAAACAATTGAAGAAGCAGCAACAAAAACATGAGTTTCTACTATAGACTATTTGTCCTTGCTGTATAGAAACTAAGGAAATAAAGTTGTCAATGTCTCTTGGTTATGTCTATTTTGTTTTTCTGGCCCAGAAGTAAGTTAGGGTAAGTAAGAATAAACTTGGTTATAATGATCAAGTTCAAGTCAGCTTTGCGGTGAGTTGGAATGACCAAAATAAAATTTGTAAATATTTCATCGGTAGAGGTTTAAGCATAGTTATAATGGCCGAGTTATACATTTCTGAGGAAAAAATGTATATTTATTATTAATATAAATTATAGCTGTGATATATCGAATACTATTTTATTAGCACCAGCACTTGTGTGATATTTATATATATAAAATAGTATGACAAATTGGAAAAAGTTTTTGTGACGCATTTCATACAACAGGGCTTTGTTGATGTTGCCACTTTTATACAAGTCCATGAAATGAGACACACTGGTATTTTTAAAAGAAAAAAAATATTCTTTCAAAGATTTTCAAACTACCAGCATCTGTCATTTTGTGCATGTGTTGACATGGCAAGATCAACAAAGCCCAGTCCAATGAAATCCTAATGGATGAAATGTGTCACAAAAACGTTTCTGATTTACTATACTATTTTTTATAAATACTGTTTGTTGATATATAAAATTATTAAAATTATACATTTTTATATATATATATATATATATATATATATATATGTGCACACACGCACAAATATAAACAGTTCAAAATTCAACTAAAATACAATTTAATTAAATGCAACTATTTTTTTTCTCATAATATTGTGCTCAATATTCTTCAGAGAGAACCACAGTGTTTATATTACATATTTCAGATTCTTATTAAAACACACTAAGCTTCATCCCTTAATTTTGGTCATAAGATCACAAAAAAAACATAATATACGCACTATTTGTGTGTGTGTGTGTGTGTGTGTGTGTATTATGCTTATCAGATCTTATTAAACTGTATTAAGTTTTGATGCAGTCTGAAAAAGCCCTCCCAACATAAGCCAAAGTAAATGACCAGTTTATTCAAGAGTTGCAGATCTACCGACCACTTATTCAACAGCAAGATGATTGTATATATTTTGAAGATACAATAGATTACAAGTAATGATAGTTCTTTTTGGCACAGTAAAGATCAGCATTATATCACATAAAAAATTACAAAAGAATTATATCAAGAAATTAGCCAACTTAAAGAAATTTATGGGAACTTCCTGATTTTGTGACATTTCCCTGATTTTCAATGACTACCCTTACTTACCATAGTTAGTGCCTTCATGGTTCTATTTAGAAGTGCATCTGGGATTTCAGGCAGGTGGATACACTCAGGAACCATAATGCTGCCGCCATCCAAATCAGCAATTATCACATCAAGCTAAAAATAAATAAAAGAAAAATTTAGAAAAAAAACATATTACACTTTAATTGCTTAATTTTTCAGTAAACTTATCCACTGAACCATCTATTTTCTTATTATGTTAGATTGACAAAAATACTCCTGGCAAATATTTTTAAAGAACATAGTGTTCTGTAATGGCATGTACAGTCTGTGTAATGGTCATCAACGCAAAAAGTGAAATTGATAAGCTGAGTTCTAATTATGGCCAAGTTGTACTTAGTTTCACATTAAGGGCAGTGATTCCCAAAGTGGGAAGCACCGCCACCCCTGAGGGCAGTGGAAAGTGAAAGTGGCACCCCCCCAAAAAAAACTGAGTAGCCATAACATACACCACACACATACATTGTACCTGAAGTGTATCTTTCCTTTACTTTACAGTGTATTCCATTTATACACAGTGCAGCAGAAATACCTCCCACATAATGGTAAGACATTAGCCACAATGATGTCCTCATCTAGCTCTTGTGGGAGATATTTCTGCTACACCCTGTATAACAATTATTATGGGAAATACTAAGATACATGCAAGACTAACATCCAGAAAACCTATTCAAATGTTGACTATACATTCGGGAAGGTGTTAAGGTTGCGTTTATACATTGAAGGCATTAGGGTGATGTCTTGGTATGCAAAGGAGCAGCAACTCCCAAAAGTTTTGGAACCATTGTTCTAGGGGGAAGGCATAAATCCTCCTTCTCTTCCACCAGTTATGGGCTAAATAACAGGGTAGACTTGCCACTCTTGTCTTGGTTGACAGCCAGTTTAGAAGGACAATTCTGAATTCAAAATTAGAGAGAAAGAAACAGGAAACTACTTCACTATCTTCCTCAAAAATATCATTCACAGGGAATAAAGAAAAGGAATCATGCTTACTTAAAACCTGAAAGGATATGGTATTTAAAAAAAAAATTCTGTACTGTTTTAAAGTATGTACCTCTGTTCTTGCACATACTATGCAGCCTTCGACATGATCATAGAATTCACAAAGATATAATCTCAATTACGATCAGCCTATGGTGTCATTGATTATTATTATTACTTATATTTTAAAATTATAAAATTTTAAATTTTGATTTTGCAAAAAAAAATTTTTAATCCATATTTAAGATTCTGTTTTGTTTTGTTTTTAAATCCATATGTTGTTTTTTTAAAAAAAAAGGTAAAAATACTTTGGTCATATTGATGACTAACCAGGTCAGAAACTCCATGACTTAATGATGAATGGATACCAGCAAGGAATGGTGTTGGAGCATTGAGCACCTCCAGAAGTGATATAGGGAGGATCGGTATATACACATAACTAGAAAATAAAAAGAAAAAAAACAAATTTAATATATTTTAAAATCAGAACATCCAAATCACTGACCAAAAAAAAAACAGTTATATTAATGTTATATATAAAAAGGCAGTTTTAATTTATTCATGTATTGATTATGTCAGAATACAAAGAAGGATCAATAAGTTCTTAGCCTGGCATCTAACTAAAATTTGATCTGAAATCTTGACTGTATAATATTCAATCTATATGATCCATATTAACCACTGAATAAAGTACATCAACAAGCAAAAAGATAATGTTGAAAACTGAATGCATGCTGTGTAAAATAGATGCTTCTTTTCCCCACCCCCTCATCATTAGGCTATAGATGCATCAATGTACCTACATATTTATTTAACAATAAAACAAAATTCTTTTTTTAAATTAACTTCTCATTTTGTCTGAGAAGTCTGATTAAATCAGATTGTAATAATCTTACCCAATTCAGTAAATGTATTTCATTTACTATGCATTTATTTACCAAGTTGTTCAAAAACAACAACCATTAGTGAACAAATATAAAAAATGATTTTTGTGAAAAATGACTAAATTATGTATACACAAATAATTTTATAAGGCTTGAGTTGAACTCTTAGAAAAATGCTTGTGATTTGGAGGGGGGGGATTCATTTGATTCCCAGAATTTACACTTATTTTTCATGATACTCTACAATTAGAAGATTAACGTGTATTTCCTGAATTAACTTTCATTGAATTTATGGAAACGACGAATTATCTCCCTTTAAATTTAGTCTTCAATAGACCTATTTCAAAACTTCACAAAAATGTTTCAAATTTAGAATGTATATCAAATACAAAATACTTTTTAAAATCCAATGAATCACCGTATATGCTTAAGTATAGTGCAAGTTAAGACCAGTTTTTTTAAATAAAAAGGGGGGGGGCACACTATACACATGTAATTTTTTTCTTAAGAAATTAAAAATCATGCATTTTCAGTGACCAGCTGGCACTATATACAGGTAATTTTTTTCTAGAGGAGAAATTCACGCCAAAAACTTTGGAGGTATCACTATACATGAAATCGTCTTATACACAAGTATATATATATATTACTTTGTTACAAGATCAGTAAACATCAATGAAACTAAGCAAGAGTATTTTTAAGAGAATGCCTATCATTTTGAGAAGTGTCATTACCGTCCCAACACCCATTCAAACTATTGAACAAACACACTACATTGTTTTATCTTATTACTATATTTTGACCAAACTATTCGACAATTTTCCTCAACTGTAAAATGTATCAAAGAAAAAAATTGGCAAAAAGAAATGATGGCTCTTCCCCAACCACAAGGTTTCATTCTCTGCAAACTACATTGACATATTGTCCAACAGGACAATGTATACGACTTCCTAACAGATATACCAGGCCATTAAGCAACCAACCACAAATGAAGAAAAACAAAACATTCTTAATGTCAAGAGTCAATATAGTGATACCTCAGCTTAAGGTATTTTGAGTTAAGTCATTTTCGTAAACACATCAGTTTTTCTTAAATATTATATGGAAAAATAAAACTCACCTTAGGTCATTTTACTAGAGTTTACATTGAACATTAAAAATATTAGAAACGTCAAAATATTAAAATGACAAACACATAAAATCATATTTAAAAAATAAAATACATATAATCATCAAAAACTAAAAAAAAAAAAAAAACTAAAAAAAAAAAAAAAAAAAAACGGGATGTTCAGCAGATGTTCTTATTTCAAATTCCTGGCAGCACTTGCACATTGTTTTCCAGTCCAACACCGATTTTTAATTCAGACTTGTTTACATCTGTGCTCTGCTATTGATGTTCTTTCAATTACATTTCAATTGTGATTTCGAATACATTTTTGCAAATGGGTCCAAAGAAAAGTCCCAGTGCAAGTGATAATGCTAAGCATAAGGCTATATCACTGGAAGATAAGGTGGAAATCATAGGTTATTTTTAAATATTTTATTCAGAATACTGTACGTACATATCATAAATACTATTACAGGCTATGGAGTGTGGTTATTTCAACTTAACTTTTTTTTTTTTTTTACCTAAGTCGTGACCTCTGGAACCAATTAACAAGGTAGGGTGAGGATACCTGTAATTGTTTATCCTTATCCTCATAATTTTTATTTCCTACCACCATTCATATCACACACCTTATTCATCATAACCATTAAATAATAATAACCTATCTTGAGTGGCACTCAAGCTTTGTGTTGGATGAATACTCTATGCAAATTCAGTAGGGAAACTATTAGACTATGTTGGCAATGAAAACAAGAATACAGATCTCAACATTAACTATAAGAAGATGGGATGCACAATTGCAAACCAAAGAGACAACCCAAGGAGAGAGTGACACACCAGAATTAAAAGGTGAAGAAATTCCACAATCTGGCTAGTCAATGACAAAAAGTCTGAGAAAAACAAATCTGAAGACAGAGGGGGAATAGCAAAATAAAGATGCCTTTCAGAAACCAAGGAATGGATTAAAGAATTAAAAACAAAGAAAACAGCAATGAGATGCAAGGTCATGCATACCTTTCAATATGGCAGTATTGATGGTGGAGGATTTTATCATAAATGAAGAAAAAACTTAAAGCAATCAAGATGTGGTTCCATCGACAAACATTGAGAATATCATGAACAGAGCACATAATAAATGAAATGTTAAGGAGATTAAGAACTGCAAAGAAATGATTGATAACAAACAGAAGGAGCTGAAATTAGGAAACATATGAAGGAAGGATCAGAGAATTTAACACTCACAGGACACACCAAAGGCAAGAGAAAGAGGAGAAAGCTGCAAGTAACCAACTTAAAAACTTGAACAAATAGATTGACTTTTGTCTATATTGCTGAGATGAGATATTATGATTATTTACATTATTCAAAATTTCAATCACCTGAAGAAGACCAGAGTGTACAATAGCCGAAACATTGTGAATATGGCAATTAAGATGAGGATAACAGTTCAAATAATGTACATTGAGTTTTATCTGAACTTCTGGTATGAGGATTTATCATTACTTACGCTATTTATATACAGACATTTTTTTTTATTTTTTTTTTTTTATTGAGTTCACCCAAGCAAGGTAGTAAAACCACTGAGATACAAAGGGTTATATAATGTGGAAGAGTTAGAAACAGAATCATTGCTAAGGAGTGAGAACAAAAGAAGAGTAATCAGGAAGACAGCAGATAGTAATTGACACTACATTTAAATTTTTGCAAACTAAAGTTGGCTGGAAAGCATGGAGCCAGAAGGGAGTTCCACAAGCATGAAGTGTAAGAAAAGAAACAGCATAGAATTTACAGTTAAATCTAGCCAGCTCAACTGTAAATTGATGAGAGCTCATCACCAGTCTAGTACTACACTTAAATTCATAGAGGCACTATAGCGAAGTGCTTGTCTGAACGATTACCATGAAAGTATTTATAGAAAAGGCACAATGGTGCAACCCTACAGAGTTGGAAAAGTGACTGAAGCTGAGATACCAGAACAGGGCCAATAATACTACTGATTCTTCTTTGGATTTTATCATGGAGCTCTAGATAAATAGCAGGAGTTGTCCTCATCTTTGTTGTTATCACAATGTTTCAATTGTTGTGCCCTCTGGCCTTCTTCAGGTATATATCAATCTGGGTAACCTACAAGGCAGTGTGTACTTGCACTCGATAGGAATGGGCAAGCAATAACTGAACAGCACTAAGTAAAAATAAGAACTTGACAATATCCCTAGACATGAGCAGTGGAACAAGGACATTCTACAGTCATAGATTAAAAGGGTTCAGTTCAGAATTCCCTGTAGATTACACAGATCAATATAGAACTGAGGAAGGTCGGAGGGCACAAAATCTAACAACAAAGATGAGGACAACAGTCCAAATATAAATCGTGTAAATAAGAATCAAGTTGCAGAAAGAGAAACAAAGGTCATCAAGATGAAAATATTGGAGAATCATGATTGCCTCCATCTTGAAGTGAAACTATCCAGAGATAGAGATACACTTCCATTTTTTTTTTAATTTTTTTTAATAATCTTAATCATTGTTATATAATAATATATTTATAATAATGAAGTTTATTTTAGATTCCCAAATTAATAAACTGGATAGTTTAAGTTACTATCTCTTAACTTTGAGTGAGTAATCAGTTTATAGTGAATTTATAAGTAAATACTTCTAGTTAAATTTTGAAAATATTTTAGATTAATATTTAATGTTAATAGAAAATAATACACCAAGCTTAATCCTTACCAATTGCTTAAAAAGAAAAAGGAAAAAAAAAAGTACTTACGTGTACCGTAATGGATACAATAGCGCATTGAGGGCATGGCAAGCATCTGTGAGCCGAGTATAGCTTTGCGATAGAATAAGGACTTTATGATCTGTCAGCACAGCAGTAAATAGGGACAGCACATTTTTTATACCTGAAAAAAGAAAAACAATCAATTTAAAATTTAATTGAAGAACAATAACTTCAAATCATGTACTTCTAACCAATTCTAACCCCACCCCAAATTCCAAGATGTTATAATTTCATCACCGACATTTAGAAAAAAATTATCCCATTCTCAGAGATAGATGCAGTTTTTATTTTTATTTCAACTATATACAAAAACTATGAAAATGATATTTTAACTCTTTTAGATTAAAAAAAATAAAGAAGAAAAGGGAAATAAAACAAATGTTACATTCCCAAATTTAGTATTTTTAACAGTATGGTATTCTTTGAAGGATTCTATACAAAATTGACTTGCACATTCCTTACGCACTATATTTTGCTTATTTTATATTCAAGAAATATATATGCAGACACAGTAATGTCTTTGGCTTGTTCTTCCAGGTTTATTTATAGACAAATATTCCAGGAAACAAGTGAATCCTAATAAATCATAAGCTCATGAATCTTAAATTTGCCAATTCAGCATTCATATCTGTGTCACTGAAAAAGGTTTGTTTCAAACTACAAGAGTTCAATCCTGGTTCCATACATTTTATCAAGTTTTATTTGCCTGTGAAAAAAATTGATACTGGGAGTTTTTTTTGTTTTTTTTTTTCAATATATATATATATATATATATATATATATATGAGAACAAAAAGAATATAAATTCAAACATTTATAACATTAATTTAAAAGAGGGCTCAATACAAAAAATAGAGCAATAGTTATTTATTATAAGTTATTGCATACAAACAAACAAGTAATCACTACAAAGATGCATATTTGTTTCACTGCTTAAAGGTAAGCATCTCATCAGGTGAGGAACAAAGATGGTTATAAACGATTTTATTTTAAAATGCTACTGATGAAACATCACTCCTTTTCCCATTTTTAAAATTTAGGAAGACATAAGAATTTCCATGAAAGGAAAAGAAAGAAATTCTTGTAATTATTCTTATTATATGCTTTGATACTCAGATCAGCATCTGGAAATCTTTGCATGCGAGTTATATTTATATTGTTTATTTTTTTCACGGGCGGGGGGGGGGGGTCCAGACAGAAAAGTAACACAAAAGTGAATAAAGCTTGAGTATTAACAGATGAGTTATCTCCCCTGAGCTTGAAAAGGAGAACAAAAACATTTTTATACACAGAATAAAGGGTTCAGTTCAAAAAATCCAAGCCAGTTACTGAGTACGAAGACAGACACCTGAAGAATGCTTTGAGGATACATCTAAAATATTGTGAGTATAACAACCAAGATGAAAATTCTAATTCAAATAGCAATGCATGTATTTCCATTGCTAAAGATGCAGCTAAAATGTTCAGCTCCTGTACTGCTCCAGTAAGTACCAGACATTTCTTGCTATCCTCTACGTTTACAAGAACCAGATCAGCTCATAAATGGAGTACTGTTGTCATACTTGGGTGGGAGCTGCCCAGTCATCATTTTCTAGTCTCTGATAGAGTTCAAAAGCACCTCTGAGTCGTTGTAGGTGACAAATTATTTTCCACCCTCCAACTTCACTCTCACGGGCAGGATGTGGTCAGCCTCTCACTGTTGTATCACTACTTCCATGGAAAGTGTTTTGACAAAGTACACTATTTGCTGCCGCCAAGCCTAAACTTCATAGCTAGGACACGCCATGCTACTTACATACTTACCTGGCACTTGTGTTCCGGCTATGTGCTAGTGGTATCACGGCTATATCTAGGTTGGACCGGCTCGGGCCTGGACCAGCTATGACAAACCAAGACCAGCTATGACTAGCTTAGACAAGCTATGACCAGCTAAGACCAGGTTAGACCAGTGGCCTGAGTGTTTCCACTCAGGTTCCCCACGTTAAAATCAACCTTGTGTCACATCCAGACTCAGTGGGTCGTCAAGTAAATACCTACTTACATTGTAGCAAACCACCCATATTCCCTGATCACTACAATCTTAACCTGTTCAAGTCTAGTTAATCATTATCTTCCCCTGCTATCCACATAAATTGTGTCTCTTATTCTGTAACCCTCTAGCTCAAGTGGCTCCCAGGCATTGTACAGAGTGAACCTTCTGTATAAAATATATCTTAATATTCTTTTATTACTTTTTTTGTCTCAATTGTTGATTGTTCTTTGCATTTTTCTCCTCCCTGTGTTTCACCATTAAAGAATTTAATTTTTCCAACTATTCAGCTATAATTGTAAGATTTCTTTTGATAATTGATATTACAATTTAGATATTAATTCTTTAATAACCAATTTCTAGTTTATGCCAAAAGAGACATGGTGGCATTAAGAAACAATTTTGCATACAAAACTGCTAACTATTAATATTGAACAGAAGACAAATACTACCCTAACACTGGTAACACTGTTTCATAAATGAAAAACAAACAAGTTTCTGACACCACCAACATGGAGGATTGAAACGACACTCTGCTATCAGTATTAGGGTTAGATTAACAGGAATCAATTTGTTAGTACTTAAGGAAACTTAATAGAAGATAGGGTCAACTATCACCTAGTTTACCCTCCATCCCCATCTTTTGAACAAGAGTAGAAGTTTATCCCTTTTTTACTGTTATATTCACCAGCTTGATCAAGTGTGTGTGTGTGTGTGTGTGTCTATATATAAACAAATTGAATAAACAATAAAATAGATGTTTAAAATTGTATGTGCTAAAAAGAGCTCAATAACTAGAAAAAAAAAAAAAAAAAAAAAATCAAACCTAAAGAGCAGTTTTAATATTCTAAAATTTCCAGTAGATGAAAATAAATATATATTTGCTGTTTAATGAATAAAAGGTGGGGCTACTCAAATACAAGTATCCACTAAAAATAAAGTTTATGTAATAAAAATCTGTTGGATTAATAAAGAAAAAAATATCCATCCTTTCCTTTACAAATTGCTTTGTTTATGTTTGGATACAAAACTGAGCAGATATGTCTATTTCAAGTCAGAGAAAAGTCATTGTTTAAAGACACTATTCAGCTTTGCTTGGTAATCAATGCACTCTGTAGTCATGAGCTTGAAGCACATCAGATCTAATGACGGCTTCTCCTAGGCTAACATAGGTTTGAATCCTGCCGGAGAGTGCATATTTTTCTCTAATAATATTTCTCGAATATTCAGGCAGGTAGACAAAAATAAATATACTGTTTAATAAATAAATAGTGTCTACTCAAATATTTAGTATCCACTAAAAATAATGTTATATATCTCAAATATGTGGTGCAGTTTAATCTATGAATCATTCATACAAAAAGTTAATTAGTAAAGTTAATGATACAAAATGGCGAAATCACTTTGCCAAGTAAATTTTAAAGATGCATTAACCCATTAATCACTCAATGAATGTTATGATCCCTGCTTTTTAAAATCATAAACTGTATTAGGTCTTCCTTAAATATGCAAGTACTTTCAACGCTTCCTCCAATCATCATCAGGCATGAAAACTATTTTGGTTTTGGTAAAAAATTAAATTTTCAAATATTCAACCTTAGCATTATGACTGCATGCTCCACAAGTTTGTATCTGTTATCAATAACACATTTCAAAAAAAATGTGTGTGTGTGTGTGTGTGTGTATATATATATATATATATATAAAATTTCGATTTGCATTATATTTTTTCGTCTCAAATGCTACTTGAATTTTACCAAAAACAAAATAGTTTCCATGCCTGATGATGACTGATTCATATTTTTTTTGGTACCTTTCACAGTTAAATTTCTAATTCTGACACAAACTCAGTCTGTACTGGGGTTGAATAAGACTGACAAATTTTATTTTTTCATTGGTTGAAATAAGCTTATTTCCATATAAGGTGATTTGGGATTTTATTGTGTGTGTGTGTATATATATATATATATATATATATATATATACAAATACATATACACACACACGTGTGTGTGTGTGTGTGTGTGTGTGTGCATGCACAAAGCCAGCAGAAGTAACCTGGTAACCTACAACTCAACCCCAAAATGATAGCAAATGTCAAAAGACCACTGGCCACTAAATATGTTTATTACTTCTACTTTCCAACAAAGATATTTATTAAGTGAATCAACTGAGCAATTTTGCTAATTAAATCCCATCAATAATTAATTCCTGTTCATTGGTTTTATTGTTCACATCAAAAAGCTATAAAGCTTTCAGTGGGGAGTTATTTTAGTGCTGATATCACCTGAACAGAAAGATATGTATATTGAATGTCATTCTCTTATTATTGTTCAGCAAAGATTTTGATACTCAATAGAAAATAAAACATTTTTGTTATTTTTTTAATGCATAAACTAGGTGGTCTTCTCTGGGGCTTAAAAAAATCATATAATAGGCCCTTTATGATGGTAATGATATATCAATGACAGATCTTAAAAAGATTACTTTCACTGACACATCTACTAACTTGATCACATTTTAATGTATAATCTATGAAATGATAAAACAGTTTTAAAGTTTCATAAACAGTAAAATATTTTGGCCTGTGAAAGATTGGAGTCATGTTTCATGTCCCACCAAATTAAAATTCAGTATGACTGCATCAAATGATACCATGGATGTTCACAGTCAGGGTAGTGTTTTAATCTCAACAGAATGTGTGGCAACATTAAACATAGCAGGGAAAACATAAATGGTAGATGGAAGCATATCTACAACAAGTGTTGGGCAGATCTTTGAGAACAGACCAAAACTTGAACATTATACAGAATTGCAGAACATTAAGGATTCATTGGGAAATGAACATGTATTTTTCAATCCTAAGCACGCTGTACAAGCAATGAAGGCTTTCCTTGCTGGCCAGTATTTCAAATTCAGTAAGTGGCTTCCATCAATCTCTAACCTTTTTAGAAGTTCTAAACCCAAATTGGGAAGAATGTATAGAAACAGAAAAAAAGAAGATTTTGTTCACTCAATGTGTAAAGTTTGTTGTCACTGCCAAGAATGGCTGTTGTGATCAAAACTAAAACCAAGGCCAACAGAATATTAATCAATGATTACATTGCATTCATTTTCTACTTCTTTCCCTGTAAGCTTACCATTTTTCTACACTTATTAACTAAAAACTATATTCCATGATACACTGCTATTTGACTTTTGTGCTAAATAATTTTTGTCAATATCAAGTAATTGCTTCTTCTGCAATAAAATATATGTCTCATATTTTGATGATTAAATCAAAGATGCAGGGTTAATAAATACTAAATTTATGCAAATATCTGCTCTGGGCATCAATTTTAGTTGTTTTTATACACTAACAAGGCCAAGAGCAGATAGCTTTAATGGGAGAACAGGATTGATGGCAGATGAATCCAATGGGAGAACAAAACACATGTCAGAAAACTTATGGAAACTACAAAAACTGCCTTTGCATCAACAAATAATTTGTATATAAATTCAAAACAATATTAGCATGCACTTTCGCAATTGGGCAAAATTCTAACAACTTTTTCCACATGTGCAGCTCCAAGGACATTTAAAACAAACAATTTTGAATAGACACTTTATTAAAGAGTATATTTATTTGCATCTGCTGGCCTGAATATTCAAGAAATCTTATTAAAGATAAATATGTTCTCTCCAGCAAGATTTGAACCGGCATCCCCCTTGGCAGAGGAAACTCTTGTTAGATCTGATGTGCTTTAGAGAGAATTGACCAAAAAGTCCTTTTGGATTTAACTTAGACACTATTCAACCTTGCTTGATCAGCAAAAGTTCTTTGTGACCGAGTCGGTATAGAGTACGTCATATCTAATGACAATTCCATCTGCAGGGGATGCAGGTTTAAATCCTGTCGGAGAGCACATATTTTTCTTTAATAAGAGTTCTCAAATATCGTGTAAAAACATCAGACATGGGTTTCACACTAAATAAGCTGCACAAATAGTTCAATAGAAACATTGAAATAAACTAAGTTCATATTTGTGTGTGTATTTTTCTAAAAATCTATGGTTTTATTTCATAACATTTAAATGTATACCCTTTAAAAATTTTGCTAAATGTGCCATGATATTTGCTTCTCAGTGTGCGATTACTTAAAAAGGTTGATATTTTTTAATAACATTTTTTGAAAACTCAAATATTATACTGTTATGTAGATGAAATAAACTACAAAAAACATTAAAACCTCTAGAAGTGCTTTAGTTATGACTAATAATTTCACTAATAATATTTTATGGCAGATGCAGATCTTTCAAAAAAAGAAATGAATGTATCAGAGGAAAAAGACTTGACCTGGGTAACACTGGGTATCACTGCTTGTGATATGAAACAACGAGAAACCAGGAAATTCTATAGGTCAAAAAAATAACAGATAGGCTAAGATAAGGTCATTGAGAAAAGTTTAATAGCAAAGATGAGTCTTACCTAACTGGGTGAAAATCAAAGCAACAGAACAATTAGTGACAGGAATTGTGCTACTAAGAGGAGGCTGAAGGGCTTGACGGTCACCAGCACCAATAGAGAAACGGACTTGGGGGCCACCTGGAAAAAAAATAAAAAGTAATTTTTGAGTATTAACAAATGAAAAAAAAATGTTATATATAAATGTAAATACAGACCTTTAAAAATAAAAAAAATAATTTTTAATGGAAATTTTATGATACATTACTATATGAAAAACGTCTTTGTCAGAAAGAAAGTGTTTGGAGCTCACAGATTAAAGTTAAGAGAAACTCAAATTGTTATAAAGAGGGAAGAGAAGAAAAAAATATTCATAAAAAGGGGAACAAATTTAATCTAATTCTAAAACTATTTACATTAGTAATTGACGGTTTACAGAATATAAAGTTACAAAAAAAAATTAAAAAGAGGAAGAAAATAAAAAGGAGATTGGAGAAAAGGAAAAAAACAAAAAACAAACACATATATACATTTAATCATACATTAATTCTTGAATTATTTAAGTTTTGCTTATATTACTTTCTGGGTTGACAGATTTTTTTGATTTTTTTTTTTAAGTTGAAGTATCTGCACATTCCAAAGGCTACAACAATAAAATAAATAAAAATTGGATAAACTGAAATTTCTTGCTCTGTTATTGATAGATATTGCCATAAAACTGTTTTCTCCCATCTCAAATCAAAAGTGATTCTATTAATCATGTGTTATCATCTAAAAACTATCAGCTTGAATGTAACTTTTTCCTAAATTGGCCTAAAAACCAGTCTGTTGAAACTTTTTCAAAAAGAGGTTGATTGTGTTTTTTTTTGTTTTTTTTTGTTTTTTTTCTCTTTTTTTTTTTTATTATTATGGCTTATCAACCATTTAAAAAGATGAAACAATTTGTATGGCAAGAATTCTTTTCTTGGAAGTAAATATTGCATTAATTTTGAGAACAACAATGATTTTTCCAGATACTAGGATCTAAACCCTGAAGTAAATCACTCAATTCTTCACATAAGTGTTGGACTTCACCAAGCACTTCCCTAGTAATCTTGATAGGCATGCTTCACTTCTTGATCTCTTCATTACCTCTATCCCTGACTTATGTCGTACTCTGTAGCTCTGCCCTCTTGGCAATTCTGACCATATCATAGTGTCTGTAAACATCATGTTCTGCTCTCTCACCAGCCAAGAACAAAATACCAACAGAATATCTTTGTTATCAACAAACTGAATGGGATTCATTTCGTAACATCCCTTGGAAGTTTTTTAACTAACCTATTCAAAGATGTGCCTCTGAGGTCTTCTTGTGGGTTAAAGCCGGCATCAAAGCTTTCATTCCAAGTGAAACCATGTTCATCTTGATTCTCCCCTGCATGCTCAGCCACTATATCCCACAGGAATCACTTCTTCTGGCTGTGCCAGAAAAATATGTCCGATTGCAACAGATGTCTGTTCGTAATGAATGCAAGCATGTTCTCAAAAAAGCAAAGTTATGGTTTGCTGATAGAATGAAATAACATATAGACTCTCAGAAGATGGGTTCTAGAGATCATTGGCACCACTACAAGAATGTACCAAACAACAGCAAATCCTCAATCTCGCCTCCATTCAATTAATTTGAAGTCCTGACATCTACTGCAGATGAGGTTGAATGCTTTGTGCAGAAATTCTCTTTCAACTCTGCACTCAACTCATCTGGAGCACCCACACCTGATCCCCACCTGAGAACAGAGGCTCTACTGAGTGATATGCACATAAACCCTGTCACTGGACTCATTTGGAATCATTTCCAAACTAGACTCCCACAAGGCAATTGGAGGTGACAGGATCCTAGCTGTCATCCTAAAGAAATGCGTTCTATTGCTGGCTCCAGTTCTCTCCAAACTCTACAACAAATGCCTTGCTGCTTCCTGCTTTCCAGCTTGTTGAAAGCCCTCCTCTGCACTTTCTGTTTCTAAGAACTTTGGAGAACACTTGGAGCCACTCAAATTATTGTCCTAATAGTCTCTTACTGCTTTTTGATAAGTAAAGTATTCGAGGCTCTAATCCATGCTGAAGTGGTTAGGCATCTTACTTCTCACAACCTCCTCTCAAACAAACAACATGGCTTCTATTTTGCCAGGTTGACTGCTGATGTGTTAACAGCCATCATGAAATATGTATATCAAGCTTTTGATAATAATGGTGAAGTGGCTCTAGATATCTTGAAGGTGTTTGACAGGTTTTGGCATGCTGGTCTTCTACGTAAGCTCCAGAGCTACAATATTACAGGATTGATTTAATCCACTTATTCCTATCAAATCCTGAAATGAGGGTCATTTTGAATGGGCTCCCTTCCGGATTCTTTCACATGAACATGGGTGTCCTCCAAGGCTTTATCCTAGGTCCTACACTATTTTGATCTTCATCAATGATCTTCCTGATATCATCAGTAGGTATTTATGCAGATGACACTACCATTTACTCAGAGCTGATAAAGTAAATCTGGCTGCTGTGCTTGAAAAGGACCTACAATCAGTGCTTAACTCGGGTAGCAAATGGCTTATAATTTTAACACTTTAAAAACAAAACTGCTCTCATTTAACCACCATAGAGAAACTTTCCTGCATGCCATCAGTATGACTTATGCTAGTTTCTTGGAAAGCAACACACTGCGCCTTCTTGGCCTCACATTTTCAACGACTTGAAGTGGAACAACTTCATCAAATCAATACTATGTCTACTGCAAGGAAAGTTTGGTTACTGTATCATGCCAGAAGGTTTTTCTCTGAAGAGTCCATCTAACACATTTACAAATCTACTATTCGCCTGTTCATTGAATGTGGCTATCATGTCTGGTCTGGTCTGGTGCTTCTGCTATTCATCTCAAGCTTCTTGACAAAAACCAAAGAAGGATCAGCAATATAATCAATCCTAACATGGCATCTTGACTTCAGTCTCTTTCTCACCAATGTGATATGGCTTCCCTCTGTCTTTTCTACAAATATTTTCATGGCAACTGCTCTAACAAGCTTTTTTTCCCTGGTGTCCTGACTGCATGAATTTCAGTGTGCCACTAGATTGGCATCTAGGTCCCACCCATTTACTGTTGAAATAGCTAAATGCAATTGCCACTTCTACTCAAATTTCTTTTCTCGCACTTCCCGCCTATGGAACACCCTTTTGTTTACTTGCCTTCCCAAAAACTACAATCTTAAGTTTAAATGCCATGTCAATCACCATCTTCTATCTTCTTGAATCGCGTTATCTTTTATCCTTTCCTCAATCTTCCCTATATTCAATCTTTTCTCTCACTTTCACTCCCTGTAAACCCCCTGCATACTAGTAACATTCCAGCTTTGCTTGTAGTGAAATGATTAAAAATAAATAAAAAAAATTCAGATTTTAAATTCTTATATTTTTCATTCTTAGCCAGAAATACATTATCCTATAAAAACCTTGTCATTTAAAATCTGAAGGATTTATTTCATACCTTTAATACACTACTTTCATAAACTTTATTAAAAATGGGTTGATTGCCTGAATACAACAAAAAAGGAGTTGATAAAAGATTAGCTAACAGTTAAGGTTGTTAGTATGAATAACTAAGAAGCAGACAAAGCAACTAGCATCAAAACCGTAAGCCAAAGGTCACCACGGAAAGAAGATCTTGAAAAGCAATCAGAAAATTCTTGCCAAGATGCCAGATTCCCTTTCCTCCTACCAGACTTTGTTAGGCTAAGAATGAATATCTATGCCAAGCCACACCCCAGACATAAATTAACCTACCTGTGCATCCAGGTAGAACA